ATTACAAAAACACAAAATAAATTTAAATATAAATAAGTATTTATATTTGTGTACAAGCTGTTTAGATTGTCAAAAAGCCTGTGTTTTTAGGGTTATTAACAAAGCTTGTGTACTCAGACCAGTAATATTTGGGGTCACACGTTTTTGCCATGGATATTTTGTGGGTCAGAAGATAAAAAGTTTGAAAACCACTGATCTAAACCACACTCAGTACCAGTCGGTGGCGGTAATGCACTCCATACGGTTTTGGCAACAGCCAAAAAATGTCCAGAAGAAGAAGAAGAAGTGACGCTTTAAACAATCCCACAATTCTTTGCGCACCATTTCCGGTAGGTGGGGCTTAAAGCTATCTGCAAAATAGTCCATGAGCCACCRAAGTACTTGCATGTAAGTACTAATATCTCTTAAATTGATACATTTTCAAATAAACTCTTTTAAATCAGACAGTCTTACTGTTATTTCGCACTTACTTGTTTTAAATATCTGTACATATTGTTAGAGTGAAACGATATTCGCTAGGTGTAAATTGTTAGCTTGCTTGCTAACTAACTCATTTGATTCTCAAACAAACAGAAGTTATGATAAACCGTGGCATTTCATATGAAGCAGTTGTGTTGAAATGGACAAGTGTTCTGAAGCATTTGATACATTTAAGAATGGCGCTGGCTGCCCTTCTGTTAGGGCTAAGTGCTRTTAAACAACTAGGCTGTTAAAAGAAAGGTGCTACTTGCATTTGGAGATTTTTAACCTTTAGTTATTAATTAATACTAACTTGTGTTTAAATGTAATTATTCAGCAAAGCTGAACAATGAAATATCATGTTTTCATCGGGGGATAAACTTCTTAGACTCACTTTTTTCTTTGAAGAATGGAGCTCTTTAAGAAAAGGCATTTATTTTGAAGTAACTGAATGCTACAATGACCATCAAATCTGCATCAGTACAGCACAGAGAATATGAGGGGATTATTATGATAAGATAAATGGCACCTATAAATCAGTAGATTCTGTGTTGAATAACGTTGATAAGATGTATTTGATCTAAGGATTTTAGTTGGTGTATTTTGAACAAACAAGGCAATTTTTAAGCAAATTAAATAAATAAGATTAACATATTTTTACTTAAAATAAAAATATCACACAGCCATATTAAGTATTTGTAAAAGTTTCTCAGTAAAATAAGTAAAAGCTATTCTCAATTTTCTTATGTAGCCAGGTAAATTACTGGGTTGGCCCTAAAAGTTGGTGTCTGACTGAAACAACCAGCAAAATGCTGAAGTGTAGCACTGGGGGTTAAATCATTTGTTTCTTGATTTTTATTACTGTTATTTATTTTTTTCAGTAAAAATCTATTTTCATAATGACATTGTTTCTTACACAGCTCTCACTCACCGTGGAAAGATGACCTATCAGGAAGACAACAAAGACGGAGGAACAGAAAACCACTGCAAAGCAAATCCAAAGCTCAAGCCAGAGAGGTGGAGGAGGAAGAAGAAGAGCAGCTGAAAGAAACGGTGCCCAGAGGGACCTGCCAGACCATGTGCCCTGCTCAAGAGCTACGAGACCGAGAGGCACAGAACCGGCTTCATCGCTTTGAAATATTACCAGGCWCAGAGAGAAACCGAAAGCCAAGAGGAGACCCTTTGCGCGCTGTCAAGGAGTACTCCAGACCAGCAGCTGGGAAAGACGTGACGAAGCCCGCTGACCTCCGACCACCGGACGTGTTGCTGAAAACTGTTTGTTATCTTATTGATGACATTGCATCCTCTCCTAGCCTGCACCCATGGACTGAGGCAAGTAGTATTAACCCATCTGTTAATTTTATGTTCAAATTCAAAGTTCAAGTATTACCAAGAAACCCTAAAAGACAATTAAAATATCAAACTAAAACCTTTAGTGGTACATTTGTATTTTTAATTTATTTTGCATGTAAATCACTCATAAATTGACATGCGTYGAAAATCAGCTGGGCTACGTGCTGTGCAACTGACTTCTTTCTAATCAACTTACTTCTAACATATCTACCGTATTTTTCGGACTATAAGCCGCACCCCCACCCCCCATCAGTAAGCGGTCCTCTTCAGTTTCAGAGTTAAACGAGCTGCGAAAAGGTGCGTCACACAGCGGTACCTGTTCAGTGTTGCTTTCTTTCTTTCTTTTTTGTCACTTCAGTAGAAAATGAAACCAAATATTAGTTTATTTAATTTATTTATTTCTTCATCATCAGTGACAAAATAATAATAATAATAATAATAAAAAGCGAGAGGTCTGGAATTAAAAACATAAAAAGCAAACCTTTAGAAATTACCGGTAAAGTTCGGAGGAATACGGTTCATTTAACTGACTTTATTTTAGTAGTTTTCTTTAACCGTTTCTGGTCCAACAAAAAGTCTCATTCATCTTCCTCCGGCACACTGAAACCGTCGAAATCCTCCTCTTCAGTGTCGGAGTTAAACAAGCTGCGTCACACAGCGGTATCTGTTCAGTTTCTGTGTCGCTGTCCTCCCTGGGTAATGCTGGCTCTGAAGCTGTGGTGTCCTCTTCACGTAGCAGTCCAGCCTTTCTGAACCCGTTGGTGATGGTGGACTCGTTCACTCTGCTCCACGCTGTTAGAATCCACTGGCAGACATCAGAAAATGTCGCTCTTCGCATTCGGCCAGTTTTTATGAATGATTTATCCCCATCAGTCAGCTGCTGGGAAAGCCCTCCCGCTCCAGCCCACGTCACTGCATGGGATTCCTTCCCCGGGGAGTGCAATGCCGAAAAAAAAGTTAGCAGCTCTTCACTCGACGTTTATCCACAAACTGGTCCTGGATTAAGCTCCAAAGTTTTTATCAGTCAGATTCCACCATGAAAAATGTCTGTTTTATCCCCTTTTATGAGTTTTTGGCCATTGACTATCTTTAAATCGCTGCTTCCTGGTACAACAGTCGGCTCTGGAAGGATCGCTTTTTTCTTTCTTTTTTTTTCTTCTTTTTTTGAAGCGAGTGTTTGAAGCAAATGGAGCATAAGAGCCCCCTGGTGGCTGAAGAAAAAAATCCACGTATGAGCCGCACCAGACTATAAGCCGCATGGTTCAAAGTTCAGGAAAAAAGTCGCGGCTTATAGTCTGAAAAATACGGTATAACTAATGTCAGACATCTCCGTAACACATATCGACATATTCAACATGTAGCTGACGACCCTACGACTTACTGAATGAGTTACAAGCTAGTGTGTTTGCCAGGGTTTTGGGGTTCAGCAGTGTATAGGGTACATATGATGAGCATCAACACTCCTTTTGGATAAATAAGGTGCAGAGATTCACAACTGTCACCACAGAGATGGAGAATCCTGAGAGGCCGTTAGAAAAGTACCATATATCATTCTCCAGGAGGAAGAGTTGGGTGAGACCGTGGATCAGGAGGTGATGGGAGTTTGGCTTGTAGGACCAGCTTAAGTTAAGCTTTGATCTTATAATATACTGTGCAAGTTAGTTTCATAATTAATCATTTGTAAATCATTTATTTTTATGTAATTTTTCAGGTATACAGCTTTGTCTTTGATCGACTGCGCAGTGTGAAGCAGGATATGATCGTCCAGAGGTTGTCCGGATTGGACTGTGTGGCCATATTAGAGCGGACCGTGCGTCTCCTCATCTATGCTTCTTATCGTCTTTGTGGCGAACCCCTGCGGCTCTACGACCCACGCATCAACGATACACACCTGCAGGAATACCTGAGCTGGCTGCTGGACTGCTACACAACTGGGCCAGGGCCCTACCCGAACCAGGAGGAGTTTCAGGCTCTTGGCTTGCTGTACAACTTAGGTTGGTGGATGCCGCCGATACTTGATCCTTAAGTAGGGATGGGTACCGAATTCGATACTTTTTTATGCACAGACCGAATTGTGTCGGTACTACCGAGAACCTATTCACGTAACATCAAACGGTACCATGTTTCGGTACCTAACGCATCATTGCGACCGTATTGGCATAAGAGTGGTGAGTTTTCCAGGCTTGTCCTGAACGCAGCATCACGCAAAAGCATAATGACGTCAGCAGCAGCTGCTGGTAAACAGAGGCAGAGCTCGGTTTGAACTTAGCTTGAAAACCTCGCAGCTCCTGGAGTAAAACTCGCCGAACAGACCACCTCTGAATTATCTGGTGGATTAATTATCTTGTGAGCACGACGTTCGCTTGCTCAAAGTTACGGAGCCCGCGAGGGGACATGGGGGG